ATGTTTCAACTTTGCTACCTCAGGAATGTCTTCCATTCTCATGTTTATTGCTATTTATTTAGAAGTAATTTCTGAATCATATTAACATTTGAACTTTAAAAATGCAGCACACTTACCGTGTCTTAGAGCACGTCTTCAGCAAAACAACTACACAAAAAACATTCTTCAGCAGATTAAAACAAAATGACACCATAGTCATTTGCTCAATTGGGTGACTGGATGCAGCCCTAAGTACTGTTCCTTGCAGTACTCTGTTAAAACAAATGGGATATTTTTCCAGCACACTTATATTCACTGACTGGAAGAAACTATCTCTGAGAGACTTTGTATTTTCTGCCTTAATGATAAATGTATTGGTTAGTGGTGAGAAACAACAAAATTTTAATGAATGTGAAAATTGATGAATGATAAGTGAAACAAATTTCTAGAAATGAAATAAAGTCTTTTCTCAATTATCAGCAATTGTATTCTTAATAGATCTTACTGTGGCTTATAATGCTGTTACCTTATACATATATGGCTAAAACCAGTGCTCAGGACAAATGATACAAAGGGGATGTCTGTTGCCTGTAATCCAATATAAGCCAATTTTTGTCATATTTTGGTAATAAAAATCCACCACATGAATGTTTTCAATCATGCTTTAAATGCTGCACTTTACTTTTTGAAGGTGTGCTATAGACTTTCCTAATTCTGCTTATAATGGCAAACAAACTGGAAGTCATCACCCTGACCTGTCTTTATTGGAAATAAATGAAATATGACCATGTTAATATTAAAAGTTGTCTCTTTAATTTTTTATACTAATTAAATGTGTGCATGTGTGTGTGTGTGTGTTTCAGGACTATTTGTGAGCAATACAACTTTGAAATTTCCAGTATTAAGATTTTTAGCTACTTCAAACTAGGAACATAGTTGTTTGGTGTTTCATCTTAAAGTCTTTTCATTATTCTTTTACTCTTGAACCATATTCTTAAGTTACTCATGGGCTACATGGAATACGTACTCTGTAAATATGCAAATCTGAAGATGAATGCAGATCTTTTACTTGGTGCTCTCATACATAACTGATAAATGACCACTAAAACCAAAGTACATGCAAGTTATTGTTAGGGAGTAATTTTATATATTATGCATTCCTTACAAAAATTCTCTACACAGTGATTTCTTGTAAAGAATAATTATGAATTCACAACATTATGCATTATTATCACACCTTTGCATGATAGGGAAATACAGCTGGAGTCGTCATGTCTGATCAAAACCCAGCTAGTTTACAACCAGTGTTAATGTCAGAATTTGTGGCTCACACAACATAAAGCCAAGAAATTGGAAGTTATATTTAATAGATATGCCTTGTGACCAGAAATGATGTCCACCAGTATTCCTCCCTAGAATTTGCCTCCCATTCAACCATCCTTAGCCTTTGTCTCTCAAACCCAAATCTCTGTGGGGAGGACAGGATGCCTATGATCCACAAAAATGTTTTGGCTTTTTCCTGGTCTTGTATTGCCTTATGGAGTATCTGAACCTAGAGAAATCTTCCAGTGTGAGTTGACCCATGCCTGTTTGTTGCTTATAGCAGTAGCTGATAGGGTGAGTTCCATTGGCAGAGTCCATCAGACTTCCTCACACACGTCACAAAAAATTGCTATTTAACATTGGTTGGGCATGTTACTAGATAATCTCAGAGCCAGAATTTGAAAACTCTGCATTCTTGGATGATACCTCCCAAAATTCCCATCTGGTGAAAAGGGATTGTGTTATAGACAAAGCCTTTCCAAAGTTTTCCCAAAGAAAACTATGTGCTTGAGGCAGCTTTGAGGAGTCTAATCTTTATACATCCTGAGGGAGTATTTATTTATTTATTTATTTATTTGATTTATATCCCACCCATCTGGTATAATTATGGAAAAGAGGCAACCACTAGTGTCAATGAGCCACAGTTTTACAAATAGCTAAAAGTCTGCAGGTGGAACTGTGAAGCTGAAGAGCTGTAAGGAATGGAATCCAGAAACCTCAATGAAAGGCATCAAAAGATAAGGAAACAGCTTTGGAGATCCTGTCCAGATTGAGACAGTTTTTTAAAACATGAAGTTCTGAAAGAATGTAGTTAGACCAGTCAGTCTTGGCAGCTTCAAAATGGCATTTCCTGCGTCTTCCGTAAGTAATATCGTCAAGGATCATGTAAAAACTAAATAACTGGTAGTGCACACCCAAGGGCACATCCAACTTACGACATGGGTTACTTATCAGGAACACTTGAGCAATATGGCATGATGCGGCAGGGTATGATTAGAGAATTTGCTTAAGGGCAGGGCTTGCTGACAACAGGGTTTAAACTGGTTTTGAATGGGGACTTTATAGGACAACACTGGCCAGCGTCCAAAATAAGGAACAGAGGCAGAATACAAAAGGTGCAGGGAGGGAGACCGCATACTTAAACTGATGATTTTGCTGTGCATCTGATTTCTCTGAAACACAGAAAACGTGTAGACCATCTTGATTTTCTGTCACTCAGGTAAGGATTAGTCTTCCATGTAAGTGGAAAGCATAGTTTTATCTGTTGGTACAAGGTGTCAATCATGCTCTCTGTGCTTATTACTATGCTGTTTGAGTACACTAGAACAATCTGATTGTGTGCGGACCTCTGTTTCAATGGTGATGGAATCAAGGCACCTGGGTGCGCCAATTAACCCAAGGAAGAGGTTTCAGACCAGAACAGGTCATGTTTAAAGCATGTCAAGAAAGGCATTCAGAAAAAGAAGGTTAAGCACAAGAGATTTGGATGGTCCGTCCTCTTTCCATCATGGAATCCTTTCCATCATGGAAAGAAACACAAGTTTTGTGCTATGAATTGAGGAAGTTAATATTTGAATGAATGCTACTAATCTAGATGCTGTGCATTTAATTTTTTAGAAACACAAGTTTATAATGGTTTCCTTGAAGGCCAAGGAAGTTTTGATAATGATTGTCAAGGAAGCAGGGTTTGAAAACTTATTTTTGAAGGAAAAATTTCCAGTGTGCCCAATCCTCGGGATATCCACTAGCTGTGCTGGCTGGAAAGTTCTGGACACAACTGCTCTGCCCCTGCACAAAACACTTGCCTGGCTTTGCACAGAAAAATTCATTAATTCTTTCCCACATTCCGTGTTTCTTAGATTAAAATTGTGCATGTGTAAAAACAAATGCTCTCTCTCTCTCTCTCTCTCTCTCTCTCTCTCTCTCTCTCTCTCTCTCTGTATGTGTGTGTGTGTGTGTGTGTGTGTGTGTGTGTAGCAATGTATACATTGCCACAGAGTTTTTGTAATATGATAATCTTAGAACTGCAGAGCTGGAAGGGACCCTATGGATCATGGAGTCTAGCCCCTGTCCAAGAGGCACAGTGGGGAATTGAACTCCCAACCAGATACCTAAACCACTGAGCTATTCAGCGGTTTATTGTAGACAATTGAAAAGGCCCACTTTTTGTGCAAGGAAATATTTTATAATTTAAAAAGAAGAAATAAAAAATAAAGCAAAAGCAATAGAGGATAAAATGCAAAATCATGGGAGAGCAGTACACACAAAATACTCAGACTTTGGTATTAAAATGTCAAACACTTAGAAAAATAACAAAGTTTCAAACTATCCTACACTGGATACCTTACTGCTGAATGTTTGTACTGTACTCTAGACTAGTAAAGCAGCTGGGAGTGAGAAAAGCCTGGTTATTTTCAATCCCGTTCTGAGCAGTTTACTTCCTTCATGACACTACCCTAAGAGGTTCATTTTATATGGCAAACAGTGTCCGACCACAGATCTGACATGTTTATTCTATTCCTTTTCAACCGGAACCTTTTTTGGCATTTGTATTGGAAGATCAAAGAAAACCACGAGTTTGGCTAGAAATCCTTTATGGACTGAAAATGGAACTCAGCATAGTTTCTTCCCCAGAATGTCCCCATCCCTACCAAAAAACTGTAGAATCTGTGAGATCCCATTACTAGACCTACACTAGAAATCTGGAGATGGTGATATATAAGATATCTTCATATATCTCCTTTGACGTGCACGACCCATCATTTTATTTAGATAAATTAACTGGATTATCACTTGTTACAAGAGGGCCAAACCTTTGTCCTACGAGAAGCTACATCAACACCTGCATTCGCATAAGATAAATCAGTTTACATTTTTCAAAATAAAAATTTTATGGTACAAGTACAAATAAAATGGTTATTAAAACTTTGATGGTTTTGGCTCTGGATGTGTCTGATAATCCCATCAAACTTATACCTTAACTACTACTTCTTAACAAAACAATATCCAATATAAAAGAATACAGACATGATTTGGGAATCAGGCCTACAGGAAGCCCTATCAGATAAGGCTTGGAACAAAATTTTGGTTTCAAAAACCTTTCTCAGCTCAGATTCAGAAAAATCATTACACAAATGGTAGAAATGGTACAGAACATCACTAAAATGTCTAGAGTTAAGGACTCTTAAGTTAAGGTCAGAACTGTGTCAGAGGGATTTTGGATTTACAGGCACCCATTGACACATATGGTGGGATTGCCCGACTTTGTCAGTTCCTTTGGGGACTCAAATGCAAAAATAGGTGATACCTTTATAAACCACTAAACCATCATCACACAATAAACTGAGTTTTGTAGTTCAAGAGCTCTCTAAAGAACTCTCTATTATCTTTGAAACACCCATAGTAAAATATGCTTCATTAGGGGTGTGTGTGTGTGTGTGTGTGTGTGTGTGTGTGTGTGTGTGTGTGTGTGTGTGTTTAAAGGAGGATTACACCCACCTTTTGTACAATGATTTTGGTAGATTCTATTTTGCAGTTACTCATCTTCTAAAAGTCTAAGGCTGGAAAAATGGTCATGATCACTTCATTGCCTACCTGGCAGGAAAATACTTGGGTTTGTAGCCATTATGGAAAAACGGTTTTACTGCCCCAGATTCAAAAACCTTGTGTAAATTTGTGTGGAGGAAGCTGATGGCATCATCAGCTTATGCTGTTAAAAATTATTTTAATTAATTAAATGCTTCCTATCCTCTTCATTCTGAGGCTCCCTTTTTGCCCTGGGGGAGCCTTTGGGAGTCTCAGGACAGGGAAGCAGAATTATTAATCACCAATGATTGCTACTGGATCACCATCAGCAGAATCTCAGGGGCCACTAGCAGCTGGTGGTGGGTTTTTTGAATAAAGGCTCCCTCACCCCATTCTCCCAGGGGTTTCCCCAGGGCAAAGGGGAACCCTAGGGAGTCTCGAAATCAAAATGGGTAGAAAGAGAGCTATGGAGCATTTAATTTATTTAAAATAAATTCCTGCAGTGCAAACCGATGACACCATCAGCTTCCACCAAGCGAAGTTACACAAACAGGATTTTGACCATTGTATTTTAATGGGCAAGGAGAAAGTTAAATCCAATACCTTTTATATTAATGAAGAAAATGCAGATTTATTATTTAGAACAGTATATTGTAGAATGGCAGCATGAATTGTTAATATGAAAATGAGTAATAAATAGATTTATTTTCTGGCTTTATCAGCAAGTTAGTCGTAGGCCATAATCATTTAGTTCATTCTAGTTTCTACATTGGGATCAGGGGTTGGGGAAGGAGGGATCTGTGATGTGATGTTTAAAACCTTAATAAAGAAATGATTTATCAAAAATAAACATGAAGGGGAAAAAAAAAACACAGTGGTATCGATTTGAATGGCTATATCTTGTAAACATTGCCAAGGAATGAAATAGTTGAAACGTCCACATTGTACTGTGGTTTTCATTTCAGTTATGAAAATGTCCCTGTGTCTCCAGTTCAAGAGTACTGTGGCATTTTTGTTCATCCTGGATTTTCAGCAAGCTGGGATAAAGGTAGTAAACAGTTACTTAAGTGCTCTGACAGAAGGATGAATACCAACATTCACTTACTGAAACATACCTTATTTGGCTGAGCCTGAGCCTCAGCTCCCAAAATAACAGAGAGTGAAAAGTCTAGTGGGAAAGCAAACACGGGGAAAGTTACTTTCTGGGATTACGTTACCCCGAATGCTGCAGCCAGTGTGGGCCACTGGCCACACTGGCTGGGATATTCTGAGACTTGTAGTCCAAAAAATTATTGTTTCCCATCTCTGGAGAAAAGCGGTGGCAGATGAGGTTGGATGAGAAAAGTAAACAAGGAAGCATATTCTAATGCTGGTCTTCGCCAAAGCCTAACATTCCTTTCATTCAAGAAGTCAGAAGGCAGAAAGATGGCACAGGAGTTTCCTTCCTTTCTTCTGAAAGCATTTTTTTAAAATTAGGGGTGGGAGGCTTTGGTCCTCCAGATTGTTCAGACTTACAGTAACTTCCCAGGAAAACCCAGCTAGCATAGCTGCTGCCCTGTCTACCCAAAGCAGAAGACAGCCCTGTTAAGTTCTGTGCAGCCAAAAAATTTTGGTGGGGTCTTTTGAGCTTGAGTTTTTTGCACTCTAGCATCTACTTAAAAAAAAAAGACCCATACATTTTAGAGTCATTAGAATCACGGTACTTTCAATGATCAACCACAAGCATACATTTCCTTGCGATTAGATGGTAGAAGGGAAACACTTGCTGGTCTCCCCCAATGGGCACGGGACAAAGTTGCATGCTATGCTTCCCAGAACATCATGGCAGGAAGGAAAACCAATTGGTCTCATTCCTCAGCTACAGAAGCTGCAGCGGCATGGATCTTGCTTCCTCTTCCTGCCAGAAAAGAAAATTAGGAATCAAACTGCTAATTGTCCTAGGACTGGAGAAGACCAACACACTCCAGTGCATCTGTCAATCCATGGGTGGCCTTCTAATTGGGCAGAATGAGACAACTGCCTCAAAGGGCAGACAATGGGATGCCACAGAAATATATTAGGGAACAGAGATATGTGTGTGCCCTGCAGTGCATCCTAAACCGCCACAGATGTGGTGCCCTCCAGTGCAGTGTAGAATGCTATCCCATGGCAAGCACTGATGTAAGATCCAACAGCCAGTCCAGCTGGCCTTTTGAAGACACAACTGCATTCAACTGCATGTTCTTCATTATCCCAGAAGGTGTAGCTGCAACCATAAATCACTGTTGGGTTGTATGAAGTGGGTTGTGAGAGCAGCAGCAGGCTGTATTATTATTATTACCTGTTGCTCATAAGCTTCTTTAAGAGTAATTTGATTGGAAGCTGAAGCTGGATTATATCTAAATAAAGATATCAACGTTTATTTCTCTCCAGGCAATACCCCCTCCACCTATTGATGGTATGTGCATTTTTTTCTTATTAATCTATTAATAATGATAAATTTACCACATACACTGCAACCTAGGGACATTTCGTTGTTTGGCTACGCAGTCACTTGAGTCAGTCGCTTCTTATTGAAGCTCCACATGAGAAAAGGCACTTTATCCTTCCAGTGGATGGTCTGAAAACATTCATAGATTATGTCTCTCATCACTGTTAGCTCTTACTTGCTCTTTTTCCTTGGCAAGGGAAAAAACGGCACCCAGCAGGATGGGTACAGTAGTGATTCCCCACACACACACTTTCAAGTGCTTACCAAAGGTGTTCCCACATTTTTCAGATGAATGAAAGGTGAGAATCTGTTAAGTCAGCTTTTACACTGTATTCTTAACTGTTTATAACACTTTCCTTTCTGTTAAAAGGAGCCGACTGTTCAGAAATATTTGCTAAAAACCAATCATCCAGAAGTCAGGTGTATTACATCAGACCTTCTGAACCGCATGGACCTTTTTGGGTATGGAATGATTTCACAGTTACATTTTGAGCCATACTAATTCATTTACTGTAATGTCTTACAAACATTTATCTTATACAAGATAGAAAGTTGCCTTTGACACTATCCAGTCTGAAGACCTCTTGGGCCAGAGCAAAGCTTTACTCAAGGCCTCACCAGATGATTCAGCATCTGCCTCCTCCAAAGGAAAAGAGGGCTAGTTTCTTCTAACAGGAGCTTACTGCCCTCTGTTAGAACTGGCAGATTAACTGGCTTTTGCTTTGTAATTGGTTGTTTGGGAGATCACACACTAGGTGGCATTCCTTTGTTACCTTGTCTAACATTTCAGACATGTAAGACTGAAAGATCTGGATGTCTGGAAGGATAACATTGTAAGAGGAGGAAATGCACATTTGCTCCAACATGTGAACTGACCCACAGTCCTGCTTCAGAGTCAGCTCCCTAGACCAGTAGTTAGACAAAATAAGGACCAGAATGTTTTCCTAGATTATAATGTAAATTATGCTTGTGTTTAAGGCTAAAAAATCAGTGACTAAGTGGTAACTATCATAGGCCCATTTTAATCAAGTGAACATACAGAGGAGTTGAATCCACACTGATTCAGTGGGCTACTCTTGTTGTAACTTACACTGGGTGTCTTTAATTCACTTACTGACTTGTTTGACTCTCACCTCTGTACATGGCCTCCCTCTATGCCCCATAGGTTTTGGGATTAGGCCTACAGCTGTGCCTGTGACAGTGCATTAAGACTGTTTTGCATTGCTCTGAAGTATGCCAAAGAGAACTTAGGTGTCAATCTGAAAGTGTCGGAGTGAAATGTCCTATGCATACCTGTTAAATGAGCATGCACTGTTGTCTCAAATGTGGATCCTTGGTCCTTCAGATGTGTTGATCTATAAACCTTATAAATCATTTAGCATTAGCTACTGTACACGGATCAGAGCTTTCAGCCACTAAAGTCCAAAAACATCTGAAGGTGCAAAAGGTCTCCACTCCTGCCCTAAAATTAGCAAAACAGCTTGGAGGTGAGATGATGTGCTTGCATCATACAGAAACTTCCAGCAGGATACCTCTGCATTCCTGTAAAAACAAACTGGATAACAGAATGTTCCTTATTCCATGTTCTTCCAGGATATTTCACCTCCTCCTTGTCCCAACATGTTCTGGTTCTCACCATGTCTGGCTTCCAGATAGCTGATCCTCCCTCCATTCCCCATTTGGATTTATTTTATTTTATTTTATTTGAGACACCACATAAACCACTCAGCCATAATGGGCAGCTTTCTTTCCTCTGCAAGGGATGCTGTGCCTCCTGTGGTTGCTGCTTGTCATTTCCCATATATTTAGATGCCAGCATCTATTTCATTTCCTTTGCCCCTCCTGTATGCTCTTTTCCTGTCTCCTCTCCTGTCTGCAGACATAATAAGACTGGCGGGTGCAGCTGCAGATGTATTTCTAACAAAGTGCACAAGAAAATGGATACCTCACTGCATGTCTTTGTCACCCACAATTCATGAACTTCCCCATGTGCTTATCTTTAGATTTCCACTGGTTGTGGTAATGGACAGACCTTACTAGAAGGTGGAGAGATGTCATCTGTCTGTCACTATGACATCATGATGACATAGCACTGTGTGGGCATGACTTTAAACATAGCTGGCCCAATCAGGAACCTTTGCTACTGAATGCTCTCACTCCCTCAATGCTGCTCTACACCTTCCTATTTCCCCCCACCGACAGGATGCTGTTGCTGGCAGATGATGTCATTTGGTCCTCCTTTGCCACTGCCTGATAATTTATGGTGTGCTTTAACCAGGTTGTGGTAACATCACACCACATTATTGTTAACATTCAACTTCATTCGGGGTTTATTTTGTTTATTTTGGTTTGCATTTCTTTCACTCTTCCCATTTGTCTTAGAACTGACTGCAAACCATACACTACTTACTTATATATATCACATTTTTCTCTGCATCATAAAGCACATGGACACTGCCATCTATGGCTTTTTAAAATACCCACTGACAGTCCTGCTTCGATAGCACTCTCCACTGAACACCCATGTGACGATCTCTCCCACATTTGTGTCCACCTCTGGTCACTTACACAGAGAGGTATAGTCCCATGTTTGTTGATTTAACTGATGTGCCCCAACATCCACGGTATTGTGAATGAAGAAATTTCTTAAGAATTTAAGCAATTAGTTTAAGTAATTAATTTCTTAGGAAATCACCAGAGAAATTAATGGTTGTATACTCAGTCACATAATGTCTGCACTGACTTTGTAACATAAGGCAATTCACTTCAAAAAGTTACACTGTTAATATTATGCTGGTGTAACTACGCAAGAGGATTTTGGCTGCTGAAATTACGTTTTCGCAGGCATCATGAACACCAGGTCAGAGGAATGGCTGTTGAGTCATGTTTATGCATTGATCTATGTATCATAGTGTGCTGTAGCCTTTGATCTGTGCTGAAAATCACACACTCCATAGGGCACTCCATAGGAACTTGGATCTGTCCTCTCCTGCCCAACACTCCATGGGCTGCCCCAACTCCTCCCAATTTATTTAAATGGGTAGGATTTTTTTTGGAGGGGGGGCGGCTTTGGTTTTTCTAATAAAAGTGCAGAGGCGATAACTTGTTTTACAGGAAAATCACACATTCCGGAGACTTCTAGTGATCTAATTGTCCTCTGGGGAGCTCTTGAGGCAACAAAAATAGAAGTTTGGGGCAGCCTGATGCCAACCTCTGAATCTGAGCATCAGGAGATAAGATGATGAAGATGACAGCACAGTGCTACATTACCAACACCTAGTTATTAAATCTGTGTCCCTACAAGCACTGTGTCTATATATATATATACTGTATATACACACACACCAAGTAGGGAAGGGGTTGGTACAAAGAGGGCCAGAAAGGAGGCTTGTGGAGGCTTTGGAGGCTCTTTTGCAATACAGCTTTGCACAGACCCCTTCCTTACTTGGTCCCTTTCTGCTCTCTGACCTTGTGCGGAAATGTATAAAATAAAATCTCCTATCCATTGCAAGTTGGGAGCTCTAGTTATAGCAGAGTTAGGGATGGCTATACCTATCCTTTCATGTGGTCAGGTTCTTATGGACAGTCTTGAATGCATTTCGCCTGAGAATGTGGGCAAACTGTTTACCAGATTGGCTAAGGAATTCGGTGAGTTATAGCCCCAAAATGTTATTTCCCCCAGAGTCTTGTACGGCCAACTAAGATGGCAGTAGCCAAAATTGAACCTGATCAAGGTGTAGATTCTTCTACTATAACCTGAAGGCCATTACAGCTGTGCCAACTCTGGATATGACATTTTTAAAGCAATGATGTCATATTGCAGCCAGATGGTTGACAAGGTGTTGTCAGCTGTCCAGAGCAAACTTTTCCTGATGATGTAATGATCAAGATGATCAGGAGGTTCTTTGGTCTTAACCATGCATGGATGGGTAAATTCCATGGACTGTTCCTCTTTTGAAGCCTGAGATCACAGACACAAGCCTAGACCACTCCAGGTGCATCACTTTTGCACCCCAGATTTGTGAACAGGATTTTGTCCAGTATATAGTAACTTTAAAATAATACAGTGGATATTATAGGCATACTGTGAAATGCAAGATGGAGGATGGACTGTAATTCAGCGACGGAATGGGAAAGGCGCTGATGGAACCCCTGTGAATTTTGCAAGAAATTGGGCTGATTACAAAAGAGGATTTGGAACTGCAAAGTGTGAGTTCTCTTTTACTATCCGCTATTCCACCAGATTTGGCAGTGTCTTTGCACATCACAGTCCACACATATCATAGTTGTAAAGGTTCTTCTGCAAAGACATGTATAACAAAAGTCAACCTGCACACTTCACCTGATCCCATGCAGTTTTTGCTTACAGTATGTGTACCCCTTCAGGCTTTATGACGAGATGAGCAAAGTGCAGCCCTTGAAAAGTGGCTGGTTGCAGTTCCCAGAATTCCTCACCACCATTGGGCTATGGCTGAAAGGAAAGGTCACCCAGCAGCCTTTGTGAGGGCCACACTTTGTCCAGAGCTGCTAAGTTGCATGCATATGGTGTGTCACAATGAGTTGGTGGGGTTGATCTATTGCAATAACCAACTATATAACATCAGTTGATGAATTGCCTGCTGATCAACTGATTTTATCAATTATAAACGTATGGCTTATGGCAAGCTTTTCCAGGGCTCCACTGGTATAGAACTCTCATAAGTTAGCATTTCTTTTCTTCTCTGAGTTCATATGTGTAGCTTGATCAAGGCTACCTAGGCTGGATCTTCTCCTGAGAGTCATCACAGTGGGGAACTGAGCTCCCAACTACAGTAATGGCTCTGCAGCCAGGTACCTAATTCACCAACCATCTAGCCAGCAAATATGATTCTTACTAAGATATTACTGCTTCCTTTTTCTTATATAGGAAAATATAGCATGAATATTGATTGTTGAATAAATACTGCTTCAATTCTTATTGTGGCAATGAAATAGCAACAAAATAGGTTTTGTTGTTGTTGTTAAAAAGAGCTTGTTTTTGTTAACTGCTCACTGAATTTTCTGACTACAGATTAACAATACAGGCCTATACCTGTACTGTATACGCAAGCGTAAGACCCATTGTATTAAATGGCACTTACTTGCAGCCTGTGGCAATTGGTGTCCATTGCAGCTGGTGAGGCAGAAGACACAACAGCTAATGATGGGTAGTGCCTGGTGTGTGACAGGCAGAATCAGAGCAAATGTTAGTCTTTGTGTGTTCACTTACAAAAGTAGGCAAACCTTCACCTATTCATACAACAGGCGCTCATAGGCAGAAGCCCTGATGCCTTGTTTTTCAGCAGTGATGTTTCCTGTGCAAATGTAACCATTTGTTTGAAATTTTGGGTCTGGTGATACAAGGTGAATGTGTGCTCAGCAGTGTTTGGGAAACTTAGGGAGGGTTGATCTAATGTCACCTCTGTTGAAGTTCTGTCTCTCTCTTACCTGCTCCCCAGATGAACAAGAGGGTTGATCTAATGCCACCTCTGTTGAAGTTCTGTCTCTCTCTCTCTTACCTGCTCCCCAGATGAACACTGGCTGGGACTTGAACAAATGCATTTATTGAGCAACCAGGTTGGCAAAACATGCCAGCTCAAAATAGACATGGTCAACTGCAATGAAGAGGAGGGCTATGCCTTCTATGACAGCTTTAGAATCGGCAGTGAACAGGAACTTTATAGCATTCATTTGGGATCCTACACAGGAAATACAGGTAAGAAATTACAGTAGTTCTGCAGTACCTAGGAACCCCATACTGTTCTGGAAAATAACAAAAGGGAAGCAGAGGAGTGTTGCTAACTTGTGGATTCAGCCTTTCGCAACTTGGAATGATTATCTGAGGACACTTTGCCTTGATCAAAGAATGATGTCCATGTTTCTTTCTAAGAAAAAAACAAACCAGTGTTTACTAGAAGAATGCACTTGAGAAACAAAAGACAGAAACCCTAGTTCTGGTTAAGTTGAAGATGTTGGGAGGCATGGCTGGTCCTTTCTTTTCTAGAAAACAAAGGGAGGGTATAGTCTCCTTGGAAGGACAAGAAGAAAATGTGTGAGAATGAAGGAAGGGACCTCACAGTGACCATAAAGAGCAGTCTAAGGAATGCAACTACATTTACAAATAAAATGGGAAAGGCTCTGGCCTTATTGTTTTCTGTTGACTACATGATGTCCATGTCCATGTGGATCAGCCTGGAGTCCCCACATCCCAATCTGTAGTATTTTCCCCTCTGTTGCTGGGGCTTCTAACTTTCTGGAAGCAAATACATTTGCATCATTTTAGGCAGTGTGATTTCTTCAGCCAATGTGGGTGGTGGTAGTTTGTAGCTGTTATATCTGAAGCCATTCCAATCAGCTAAAGCAGCAGTGAAAAAAGCTGGACGGCAGAAAAACTAGCTGCTGTTTCAATCCTCTTCTCCCAAAACTTGATACTTGGGCCTGCTTTCATCTTCCCTTCCCTTTCCATTTATTTCATCATTTTTTATTTTAAGGTAAGGTAAGGTTTTTATTTTTACAAGGGTATCTGCAAGCGGGATCTGAAGGCCTTAGGAATGGCCCTCAACAGATGGGAAACCCTGACATCTGAGCATTCAGCCTGGAGGCAGGTGGTGCATCACAGCCTCTCCCAATTTGAAGAGACCCTTTTCCAGCAGGCCGAGACAAAGAGGCAGTCCCGAAACCAGCAAAATCAGCTGGACAGGGGACAGATTGTGATTGTCTTCAGTGTGGAAGGGATTGTCACTCTCGAATTGGCCTCGTCAACCACACTAGACACTGTTCCAAGTCCTCCATACAGAGCACATTACCATAGTCTCTCGAGACTGAAAGATGCCTACCCTTTTTTATTTTAAAGGCTTGCTAGAGCTAAGGCAACTGGTAACCAAAAAGGTGTGTGTGTGTTGAGAGCAAGGAATCAGCAAAGAGAGATGAGAACGTTACTGATCTTCCTTGTTTCTTGCTTGGTAAGGTAGCTCTGCTCTAACTGTGCCTCTTGCAAATCTAGACAGCCAGAGCAGATCAGAGCTACCTTAATAAGCTGGAAACAAGGCTTTTCAATATCTTTCCCTCTCTCTACTGACTCCTCTGTAGTGGGCTAAAGTGAATTAACCCTAGGAAACCTGACTTCACTGGTGTGACTTCGCAGCAAATCCATTCACATTTTCCTTCTGTGTAGCTGTGTCCTAAGATTGAAGGAAGGTCAGCGCAGGTCAGAGTAGATAAACAGTTTAGGAAACCTGAGAAATTCTTTCATCTCTAATTATTTTTCCCCAACCAAAATCATGCATTTTCTTGAGCTGAGTTGCACTCAGTCACTTCCAACACTTATTACAGGAGCAATTCCCAAATAATTCCACCTGATTGGCAGAGCAGCAGCGGCACATGACTCCGGTTTTGTGACTCACATAATCTCCTTCCCTTTTGGTACCAAGGAAGTCCTAAGCTTCACACAGCCATGTTTGTCTCAGTGGTCAGTGAAACAAGTGGGGATATCTTCTTATGCCCTGCTCAGAAAAAAGAAAACATTATCTGCTGTGGTAAACACACAGTACTCAGCCATGCATTCCCTTGATTGACCAAGTTTGTGTTCCAGCGCTAGATGATGCTACAAAGTCAAGCCACTTACTACAAAAGATGGCACTTTCGGTCTGTGTTCTGATGTTGGTGATTAAAATATATAATTTCTTATTCTTTCTGTTGTCTAGGAGATGCATTTCGAGGAACATACTACTCCAGGGATCAAAATCATCATCCATTCAGCACCTATGACAGTGACAATGATGACTGTTATCCATGCATCAGAGGAGATATAGCATTTAATAGCTGTGCCAATGAACAATATTCTGCATGGTGGTTCAGTGATTGTGGCATGGTGGATTTAAATGGGATGTGGCACCCCAAAACTGATTGTACTGGTTGGGCATCTGGAGTGTACTGGAAAACATGGCAGAGCTATACTTCATTGTTGTCTGCTGTGCTCAAAGTCAGATGCAAATAAAAAGCAAATAGAATGGCAAATACATTTGTAGCCATTTCAAATCTATAAAGCCTTATGAATCTTAAGAAAAGGATATACAATGTAATAAACCTAAGATATCTACTAAGGAATCTCTCTCTCTCTCTCTCTCTCTCTCTCTCTCTCTCACACACACACACACACACACACACACACACACACACACACTTACACTTCTTATAACACACTCTCAAGTCACTATCTGTAATTCCACATCCATTGTCAGCATATAAAAAGACAATAAAATGATTTGGGCTGCTAAAAGAAAGGAGGCTTCTGGGTGTTAATTAATAATTAAAAGTTCTACTGCTTTTCCAGGCACCAACACATCTGCCACCCTTTCCCTCTTGCTCCTAATTTTTCAGTGTTTTCTGGGATAAGGGTCATGCAGTCATATTTGTGTACGTGCTTCCACGGTCCCATATAGCACTGCACACATATGAGCAAAAGGGTCACACTAGAGGCATGCAAAATTATGTGCAGATGTAAAGAAAAATGTTCCTCTCCTTTTCTTGTGGTAAAGGCAGAGCTGCAACCTGGGGTTATCCCCTGAAACTGAATGGCAAGCAATGCAGGTCACACTGTGCAAAAATGCTGGCATTCACAGGACGTAGCTGTGACTGTGACATTGCACAATGGTCAAAGTGGATTAAACATAACTAAGGAGGTGAAGACCATCAATGGCTACTGGTGAGGATGGCTACCTATCATCCTAGACATTAAAGACCAAATGCCTCTGTATGCCAGTTGCTGGGAAATAACAGGCAGAGCAGAGGTTACACGGCACTCATATCCTGCTGTGAGGGGTCCCCAAGACAGTTGGCTGCTGAATGTTGCTTAGGCAGAGCTTTGATTTCATCCAGTATGGTTCTTCTTGCAGCCAGCAGCTCACCTTCACAAGTCCCAAGCCAAACCAAAGAATGAAAGGAAGAGGGGACATGGAATGAAATTGAAGAAGGTGGGTGGCAGTCTGAGAAAGGCTGTGTTAGGGAAAAGCATAACTGTACGTATGTGCCATCAGAGGTTCGGTATGGACAAGCTTCCATCAGCTAATTTATCTATCACTATAGTTCTAAATTCTGGGGAAGCGTGGCACCAACTCCCAGATGTCCTGTTGTGCACTAGTACCCTGAATAACTCTTTGTCGAAATAGCAGAAGAAATAAACACAGCACAGTTTTTCTTGCCATACATTACATTTGGTGCTTTTTAAAAAGTACAGATCACAAACAGCACACAGAGCACAGATATCTTCAATTGTTTTATGAAAGCTGGATGTGGAACTTTTGAGATCTGTAAGTCTATACAATAAATTTCAAGGACTGTGGCAGGCATCACCATAAAATGAGTGAGGGATGTCCACTCACAAAGAACAAGCCAAAGCTTGATCAGATCCCCAAATGCCAAATGACCCCCATGTAGCATTTTTTTTAAAAAAAGCTCACCTCATAGAAGACAATTGGTGAAGTTCTGAGACAAGTAATCTTGCATCCCAATCAAGATTATCATACCACCCTTCTCAATCAGGACCACCACACAAATAAATACACATGTACTGTATAGGCTCATTTCATTTTCAAAACACTCCCCTTCTCAGGCTGATTCTTTTTCTACACGTGCAGCTATCGGATCTTACTTTGTCATTGTCATTTCCCCCCACAAATAAGTCAAGGCAGGCAATCTCTCTGAAACCAAAGAAGGTACCTGTGGGTATTGTGGTGCCCACCACAAAAGTCATGATTAAACTATAATACAATAACTGGATCTCAAGCTTGTATGTGACATGGAATGTAATGTTACATTTCCCCCTTTCTTCTAAAACAAGAAGGGCTGTTGTCAATATAAAGTTGGGCACCTGAATACTAATTACACAATGCTAAGTGTTGACCTTGTTTTTATTATTACCACATTTACATAGAAGTTTTCACAATGTTACAAGGAAGGATTTACACATTAACAAATTTACATTGATACACATATTGTTGTATTGGCACTGGGCAACATACTTTGCTGTACTGAGAAAGACAAAAAGAACTTCTGACATGCTGTGGAAAAAGACTCTTGATACTTGTATGGACTTATGGACTGTCCACTCTGCCACTGCCTTTATTGGAAAGCTCTCTCTTCTTAGAAACATCTCAACATTCGTATTTTTCAGAAGGCCAGGCTCATTCAAAAACGTACACAGTTGAGACTCGGTGTCCTGTCACTGGGCTGTGCTGTGTTTTATGAGCTCAGTTATCTTTGTAATAGTTATTAAAATTGATTCGTAGTAGGAAATCCTCCAGGTGAGGCTGGTATCCTCGGTTAACAAGCTTAGTTACCACTGCAGAAAGAATAAAAAAGAAAGAAATTAAGTCAATCAGCTTGACAAACACTTTACTCGTGTTCAGGTCTTTTGTTTTAAAATCATGTAAGGTAGCCAGGGAAGGACATTTGAAAACAATGGTCTGGAAAGAAGCCAAAAGAGCATTCAGGTAAGAACAGTTACAGAGCTCTATAAAACTGGAAGGCTTGTCTTATCAGATTTTCAGAATACATGGAACCTCATACACAAATCTGGCTGAATGTGTTTCTTCTGCTGATCTTCAGCAATATCGAGGGGCTGGAAGTGGAGTGGCTGGAGTTGGATCCCTCCTTATAACCGAACACCTGAATAGGGCTTGTCTGTCTGTTTAAAGTAGTCTATGGCTAAAGACCTGCAATCCACCTTCCTCAGAAAAGTCTTTCCAGGTATACAGCATTGCCTTGTAAAACATCTACGTAAGAGAATATGGGGAAGTGCACCATCAGCTGCACTCTCTTGCAGTTCTCTCAGCAGACTTTCCGTCCATGAGTAAGCCCAAGAGGACTTTGTACTTTCTTCTAGTTTCCAATCTACTGTATTTTAGGTATCTACTTTTTCCTTGGAAGTTATTTTATTTATCAAAATCAATAAAGCCATATAATTCAGCAAATACTCCACTAAGGAAAGTGGTATTGTATTGATTTAACCTACTACTGCTCTAGGTTCCACTGAGTATAGGGGACTGTAATCTGAGTAAACAAGAGGCAGGTTAAAATATGGCTAGAAACAGAAATTATGAAGTCAAACTATAACTCATCAGCAAAATACATGTGTAGCAGGCAGAACATCCCAAGTTCAGTCCTTGGGAGCTCTTGAAAAGGAGGGATCACATAGTGAAGAATCTCTGCCCAAGATCAGAATAAAACACTGCCAGTCTGAATAAACTTCAAGAGATCTGGTCAAGAGGAATAATTAGTCAGATCTCATATAAGCCAGCTTCCTATGTCCCTTTTTCCCTAGAGGCTTCAGGTCATCTATTCTGTACCAGGGATGGAAAATATGTGGACCTCCAAATGTTGCTGCATTGCAACTTATATTAGTCCTAGCCAGCACATCCAGTGAGGAGAAGCAATTGAAGTGATAGTCAAGAGCATCTGGTGTCAAGATATACTTCACTGTCATTTTGCACAATGTATTTATTTATACAAATTTTACCCTGTTTTTCTTCTTTAAAAGGAGCAAACAAATACCACACTAAAACACAGTAAGCAAAAGCGACACCAAAAACACATGCAAAGCAGGTAAGGCAAACAATTCATTTAAAACCCCACTCAGGCAACCAGTCACTGAGGGAAAGGTTGCCTGAAGAGGAAGGTCTTTGCCTGCTTACAGAAGGAAAATGAAGATTCAGCCAAAGCCTGGGAGCAGCAACACTCTTTCTGTGTCTCCACCAAATGTACCTGTGAAGGTGGTGGGACTGAGAGAAAGACTCTCCCGATGATCTTAATACTCAAACAGGCTCATAAAGGGAGACATAGTCCGTGAGATAGCTTGGACCAAAGTTAGGGCTTTTGTTCAATGGTTTGCTTTGTTTTGATTCCTAGTAATAGCTTTCTTCTGCTTTTCTTTTTAAGTTCTTTGATTTAAAACCTATTCTGCTTATCTTCAGTATGTTAACTACAGCAGTTCAAAGTGCTGGTTTTGACCTACTGAACATATTGAAAATAAGCAGAATAGGTTTTAAACCAAAGAACTTAAAAAGAAAAGCAGAAGAAAGCTATTACTAGGAATCAAAACTAAGCAAACCATTGAACAAATGCACCCGTTAACTACAGTAAATTTATATTACGCAGTACAACTCAGCATGTTGTCAGTAAGCATCAGTCTTACCGTTAAATAAGAAATGGGAATAATATTTGAATGTATTATAAGATTGCTGCATTAAGCCAAAGTTGGGATGAACTGCCATTTGTTTGCTAGTATCAAAACTCCATGACTGAGAGATTAACTGGCTACGGAACTTTAAAATGAGACTGAAAATGCTGTGAATTATGTTCATCACAGGGGCTGCCTTTTCCGTCAACAATCCCCTGCAAAAAGAAAAGAAAATCTTGTGAAGTGATAGAGATTTTATGTTATCTGGCAAATGGAAATGCAATTCTTATTCCTTTCCAAGACGTTTTTAAAAACATTGTTCCATATTTCCCACTAAAGTTATTTCCAATAATCTACTGACACCTTTGGTACTTCCCCACAAATGTCACTCAGAATAACTTCTTGATAAGGACAACTTTTACTGCCATAACTGTTATTTCAATAAGTTGCTTGAGTTAATTTTTCTTGCCTAAGGGACGCTGTACATGAGTTTGTTGGATCAAAGTGGGGGATGGGGAGAGACCCTCTTTTTAAAACTGCACATGACCTCTTCTGACTTGATGACACTGACCAAGGTTGATTTGAGCTGGAGTCAATGTGAGCTGGAGGACAAAAGTACAGAGAAAAAAAGAGAGTGAGCCGTCCCCTCCCACGTCTAAGGCGGAGAATAATAACAGTGGTGTGGAAAAGGTGACAGAAGAAATGAAGGTGCTAGAGATAAGAGAAAAGGGGGGAGGAGCAAAAGGAGGAGAGGAGGAGGGTAGATGTGCTCCTGACAACGGAGGAGAGGGATAAGACCAGGGAGACAAGGAAAGCAGTTGTGTGGGAAGAGAAGAAAGAGGAAGGAGAACCTCGAATCTTCAAAATACCTGAGAAAGGGGGTGTAAGAGATGAAACACGAAGAGCGGTAGAAAGAAAGAAAAAGGGGACAGAACTAAAAATACATCTGGAGGAGTTAGGTCCGGAAGAACGGATAGTTTTGGTTTATCCCCGAGGGCTGGAGGAAGGTTGTCTGGCCGGAACCCATCTCATCGAACCAGAAGCCACTAGAGGGGGATTGGTCTCATCACCCGTGTTGCGGGACTATTTGTGCAGTGAGGAGTGGTTACCTGAGAAAACCTACGGATCAAGAGAGGTTTGGACCATCTTCCCACTGAGGAAAGAAGATTTCTGTGATAGTTTGACCCTTTTATGGACAGAGTTACCAGTAGATGCTGGCCATGTTGGCCCCACAGAAGTTGTTATTGACAAATTCGTTAGTACTGTTAATAGAAGTTTTATTACAAAGAACACAACTCCTCCATTTTCCCCACCAAAAATCAAGAAAGTGTCATACATTAGGGACAAACCCTGTCACAGTCAACAACACATGAAGGCCCATACTTTGCTCAGTGTCCTTTCTTAGTTTTACGAAAATTAAAGATCTCTGTAAGCAAATAAATTCTCTGTACTGTATTTAATGTTTCTTACCGGAAGATTGCCTTGTTCAGGTATTCTGCATGTGTTTTATAAATTTCTTCTAGGTTTCCTACAGAAGACAGCTTATTTCCAAATTCACACCAGGTCACATGAAGGATCTGGTTGGCAATATAGCCTTGAATAACTTTGACAAAGTGCTGCATTTCATGTTTATAAAGCTGGAGCTGCCGAAACTGGACAGAGTTTGATGCATGTTTTACTAATGCTGAAAAACCAGAAAGAGACAGATTACTAGTAGAACTTGTCAAGATATTGGTTCTGGGTTAAAATGTTAAACTACTTTGGCACCCATTAATTGGAAGCAAACTAACTCTTCTTGAAAAAGGTTTCTGTAAATTGACATGTTGTCAATCAAAGCACTGATTTGCCTGTGTCATTTGGCACAGTGAATCCTCCCCGAAGAGAAACAGCATAACTACTTATGTTTTCCCATTTTTGCAGCATTTCTGGTGTAATGTTTGTGATGCACCAGGGTACTACTACTGTATCAGCTTACAGAACAAACAGGAATCCTTGGAGAAAAAAAAGTTGACTTTTTCTTTCATTACTTATGGAACAGAGACTTAAACAGCTTTTATAAAAACAAAACAGTATTCAGTAACTTTCAATTATGTGAGTCTGAATGTAAATAAATCAAACTATTTTCATGGAATATAGGTAAAAGAGATAAATAAACATATATGGAATATGCTAATCAAAATAGGTAGGACAGCAAATTAGATAAATAAAAGGAGCCAAATTTATCTCACCAGTCCGCTTTAAATGGAACCAAACATCCTTAAGAGTCCATACCATATGCTTCAATTGCAGCAGAAAGGAGAAAATCTTATTATACTTATTCATGCAGTTCTCAGTAATGACAATGTTTAAGGGCCAGTCAACCTTAAAGACAATAATAAAAAATACCTATTATCATTGCATGGCTCCCTAAAAATATATAAAATAACAAGATCTTGCTGCCTTCCAAGGTAAAGGTTCAGAGAGGCTCTTAAAAACAGCAATGCATTAATGAATGGCTTCAGAGAAGGATGGGTATCAAATGATTCTGATGAAATATTTATTTCAAATAGGAGAAGTGTATCACTCATTTTTCAATTTACCTGTCAGCCTGCTCACCTTATACCGCAGCTCTAAACAGTTTAAAGCATCAGGTGCATTGGGCTTGAACATCTCTGGAAGGTACTTCAGTGCAAAGGAAAGATTGGAAGCCAAGTGAGTATCCCCATGGAGACTGTACTGAAGCGCCTTATTTAAAATAGAATTGAGGACTAGTGGGTTTAGAAGTTCACCAGGTGTCTGGCCTGATCCAAGCTAAAATGAGAAAACAACAGGTGGAGACAAAACAAATCATTTGACAAGTGAACTCCTCCAGAACTAAATAGTACTGTCTGCTTATGTAGGCGCAAACAGTCAGATAATCTTATATAAGAATGTTCAAGAGCTTGTCCTCCTCATGATCTTTGTAGCCCCATTTTCCCTAGATGTGTTGTTCAACTAGGTATACCAGGAAATGCAGTATAGGACACACATACATAATGCAAAAGCATGGCTTCCTGTGTTAGCAAACTAAAACTAAACAACTGAGGTTTAAAGAAAAGTCTATAAAAATACCTTTTCAAAAAGCAGATCACTGAGTGATTGGGCAAACTCTCCATCTTCCATCAACAAAAAATGCCTCAAGGCTCCAAAATGCTTCTCAACATTCAGTTCCACAAAGTAATAGTCAACAATGGCTTTGTTCACAAGGGAAACACTAAGAACAAGTGAAAAGAAGGAACAATTGAATTTCAAACATTAAATGAAATAATTAAGACTGAAATTTCCACCACGTCAGACAAAGCCGAAGACAAAAACATTGTGGCACCTTAAAGACTGTTATATTTTAATGTAAGCTTTCATGGGCAAGTCCACTTCTTCTGACGTAAGAGTGGGACTGCATGGTAAATATTTGTATGTTTATACAAGGAACCATTGCTGGAAGAAATTGTTTTGATTTGCAGAGGAACATTACCTTATCGCCTGCCAATGTTATCTATCCCATCTTTTGTCAACAATGCCCCTCGGCACTCCACATAGGACATACAGGACAATCTCTGCGCAAAAGAATTAAGGGACACAAATTGGATAACAGGAATGGCGATACACACATACCTACACTTCAAATTGTTTTAATTGACCTGGACACTCTGCATAAGATTTAAAAGTTGCTGTTCTGGAGAAGAAAAATTACAGGACAAGAATCTATAGAGAGAGACAGTTGAGATAAAAACTATATAGTACATATGTTTAAAACCCATCTCAATGGACACAATGATTGTTTTAGGTCACTGTCAAATGTAAAATATTTTGTTGTATTTGCTGAAATTCCCATCTGTTTCCTTACTATCTAATAGCACCACTTCACAAGCTCCATTGGTGACCAGAGACATTCCTTACCATATTGGGATTTTTTAGATCATTGTCAAATGTAAAATATTTTGTTGTATCTGCTGAAATTCCCATCTTTTCCTTACTATCTAATAGCACCACCTTACAAGCTCCACTGGTGACCAGAGACATTCCTTACCATATTGTCCCTGTTTGCTATCTATAGCCTGGGATTAATTTAGCCATCATGACAGTGTTTACAGAACATTTCTTCCTGGGGTGGTGGCTGGATAATAACAGGGATCTTATTGGTCATTGCCAGGTGTTGGGATTAATTTAGCCATCATGACCGTGTTTACAGAACATTGCTTCCTGGGGTGGTGGGGGTGGTGGTTGGATATCAACAGGGATCTTATTGGTCATTGCCAGGTGTGAAATGCTGCACTATCAACAACTTGTGCCCCCTGCCCCAAAAACAACAGTCTTGTTGTTAAAAATACAGTCTCTCTTGGTAATGGTCGCATGTATACATATATAAGTATTTGCCATGTAATCCCACTCTTATGTCTGAAGAAGTGGACTTGTCTGTGAAAGCTCATATTAAAATACAGTATAGCACTTACTCTTTAATGAGTATGTTTTTGTCATCTTTATTTTTTATTTATTTTTGCCTGACATTCTAGCACAGACTAACATGACTGTCTCTTCTAAAATTTCCATCAGTTTATTCCCCATTAAAGAGATCAAACAAATAAGCTGGCAGCAACACATAAACAACTGAAATCCAAGATTAAAAATTCACTCTGCTCTTTAATCATAATTCAAACATAATGAAGTTAATTTAAAATGGTCAATATTTTGCTTTTGTAGCCAAAATTAAGTATACTTTCTTTCAAAATACCCTTGGTAGTTAGCTGCAAAGACTGGCTTCTCACACAGAATGTATCATGGGCATCTTTGTCAAACAAGTTAAATCTCCATTCTTAATGCTTTTAATAACAAGTACATATAATGCTTTCTACAATAATGACATAAATCTGCTATCCAGCAATTCTGATTTATAGCAATTCTCCCAAGGTTTTCTAGATACAAAATACTCTTAAGTGGCTTATCAGTTCATCCTTCTGGGAGCTCTCTGGAGCTATGCAGCTTGCCCAAGATCCCATAATAATCACAGAATCAATAACAGCAAGGAATGGGGCTTTCATGTTTACAAGAAAGAACATGATTTGTAATAACAAAAGAGTACACAAAACTTTCATGGGTTCGTATTTCCCTCTTTTGTTTAACCTTTCAATCACTTTTTATCTGTCAGACAGCCTGGTAATTTTTTTATCCAATAGCATCACATGAGCTTCAGTGAGCAACCAATCAGAATATCCAGGCAAAGCAGGAATTTTGAAGCTACAAAAGAGCATGGATTAATTGGAACCCAATGAGCAGTGTTTTTTCTTTGCTTCAGTTGTTCCTTGTGGGTGAGTGATCTCCTGGTGCCCTTGGACTGTGTTGCCTGCCTTTACACCTTAATCTTGGATTCTTTCCCTTTTTATCTTTTTTAAATGATTATTTGGGGAACCCCCAATTCTTTGGAGATTCCCCCCTCTTTTGTCCATTTTTTAAAAAATTACATTTGTTGTGTTTCTGACCTGCCTTTTGGATTCAAAGAAAAATGAAACTAAATGACCTAAAAAAAGGCAGCCCCTTTTGTATAAAATGAAAGGCCCATATATATATACACACACACACACGTTGGGAACAACCAATGAGATACTGATGAACAAAAATAATAAAGAATAAAATTTATATTTGACAGATCCACTACAAGGTGTCGTGTAAAATATATATTTACTGTATTTTAAAATCAAATATTGCTGAATTAGTTTGCATTTGTTGTTGACAAAGTCATTCAACTGCTTACACTGTCAACCAAATAAAGAGAAAAAGACTGTTAATGAATACATCAGTATGTTATTTTAAAGAAATATATGAAAAGCAGTGCTACTTACTGAGAAACCAAGGGGGCAGTAACTGAACGTTTCATCAGCACAGGAAGTGACAAGAGTTCACTTAATTGTACAGCTGTTTCATCTGTTGCTGACTGTGCTGATGGGTCCACGGGAAACGTATAGGATCTTGGGATCACATGATGTAGGAGATGTGAAATGGGAAGTTCTGCTGCATTGGAGAAAAAAAAAACTGCATTTGTGTAAAGCTACACTTGCTGCTTTTAAGCACATCCAAAATAAATGCTACTCTATATAAAACTAAGGGTTTTACACCCACAATTTGCAATGGAGTTTAAAAATGAAAGTATCTTTACATGCTGTTTTAAAAATAGTTAAAAGCACTAGAGATGTCCAACATCAGGACATAAGGCATTTCAGAGGTCAATAATAATGCAAAAATAAAATAAAATAAACACACAAAAATGTGATGTAGTGTTTACTCAGAAATGGAAGAAGCACATGTTTGTATCAGACTTTTCACAATTCTGGCCACAATTGATTCTGCTAGTCTAATAAATGAGACTGGCTTTTTGGACTAACTGGCACCAGCACATCAACTGGCATGATCTCTATGGGATCAAGTGCCAAAAAGAAGCATGATGAAGATAGCAGGGAATAGTGTGCTCTGGAGGGCCATGGGTTTCCCCATCTCTGATCTACAGAATTCTAGACAGACATGCATACTCAGCATTCTTCTCCTTTGGAAAGGTAACATATCAAGCTGTTACATTATCTTGATGCACACATCACAATTGGAGACTACTCACACATCAAATCATAGCTGTCCTGATATTCTTCGAGACAGTATTGTTCAGATAAAGCTTTCAAATATTCTTCCTCTTTCTTCCACATGGTGATAGAAGTGCATTTTTTGTCTTGGCTTTCAGATGCACTGGCTTCAGAAAGGCAGATATGTTCAGTCAAAACAACCACTTCAACTGATTTTCCAGTTTCTTCTCCCTGATTAAAAAAAAAAATCTGGACATCATTCTGCCTCTTTCATTTTGCATTATATACTACCCTTCGTTTAACTAAGTTCCAGGACAGTGTCGAATAGCATAAAAGTGTTAGGATACAGATTTCCCATGGCTGAAATGGAACAGATGCATTATTGGTAGCACCACCGATGAACAAGCCAAAAAACTACTTCCCCACAAATCTCCTTACTCACCTGACATATATCAAACACCGTCAAGAAAACTCCTTTTTTAAGGCAGAAAAGTAGAATGAAACGTCTTTCAATTCTCACCTCTCTCTCTGTCAACAACTGCACACAGAAATGCCAAATCTGACCTGTCAAAATCAGCAAATTACTATTTTGACTGCCCTTGCTATGGGTTCCTTCCTCTTGTTGGCCTGATGGGACACAAATGTTTCCTCCTCAACAGCAAACAAACTCTGTCCCCTGTTTCTGTGGGAAAGGCAGGAGAACCTTCTGCTTAGCAAGAGCTGAAGCAGTCTCCCCTTCACCCTTTCTCTTTTCTATGGTTGAAAGAAACAGGGTGCCTATGGAACTGAGCTGCTGCTCAGCAGTAGGGTTCACACCCCAACCGCCCAGCAAAGGTTAAAGAAGAAGCATCCCCTCTTCTCTCCAAATCCTACTTCTTTCCTCCTGCAGGAAAAAATACAGGACACATGTGTAATTCAGCTAGTACTGAGGGTTTCTCAGACCAACATGGCCCATCACCATCTCCTTGCCTGGAACAGAAGCAGGAAGCTTGCTGGTTTATAGTGTTCACAGCCCTAGACTGATCAAAACCCTAGTTTTCTACTTGGTCAATGGAAGAAAATATCTTTTAGGTGAGAGAATCTGGAATGCCCAATCAAATATGAGGAGCACAAGTAAACATAATTTATTTTAGCTTTTAATCTTGTGTTTTTAATGTTGTAAGCCACCCTGGGTGGTTTTTAGGAGAAAAGTGGAGTAAAAATATTTTAGAATATGAGAAGCACAAGTAAACATAATTTACTGGTTTTTAGCTTTTAATATTGTGTTTTTAAATTGGAAGCCACCCTGGGTTGTTTTTAGGAGAAAGGTGGAGTAAAAATATTTTAGACAGACTGACAGACAAGGCAGAGAGACAGACATATCCATGGATATAATCTGCCCCATTTCCAGGCTTCACAGCCTGTGCACTTGTGCACTCACACCTAGCCCTTTTCTGAAACAATGCAACTGCAAGTCTTGGTGGAAAAGAGGAGGTACTAAATATAATTTAACTGCATGGTGTTCAAGTGAACCTCTCCTCCCAGGCTTCTGAAATCACAGTTATTTTTGCCCTGTGGTAGGAAAGTCAAGGGGGCTAGTGCCTGCATTGTGGACCTTGGCAGGCAGCCTGTAGCCCCATAATGCATACAATTCTCACCAGCCTTAGAATCTCACAGCAAAAACTCAGCCCTTCCTAAAAGAATGATATTATTTCATGTGACCGCTGACGACAAGAAAAAATAAATAAATGATAGAGGTCGTACGACATGTGGATTAAGGTAAAATTTAATATGGTGCTTTTTAATGGATCCTTGTGGCGCAGGGGTTAAACCGCAGTACTGCATCCAAAATTCTGCTCAAGACCTAAGCACAATCCCAGGTACCTGGCTCGAGGTAGCTTGCATCATTAAATTGTAAACCTTACACAGAGTGTGTTGAGCGCTAAAAAGATTTTCCAGCTAAATTCAGTTTCTTTTTTTCTTTTAAAGAAATGAAGGAATCAGTAGTCTGCAAAACTTTAAATGGTACTACTCACCTGTAAATTCTGAGGACTTGGATGGAGATCTGCAGTAACATCCGTTGTGACTGCTACTTCATTCAAAAAGGAAAGGTGCAGAAAGGAAAAAAAGATGCAAAATACACTAAATAACTATGCTATTTTGCATTTTATTATACCTAAGACATCTAGAATTTTGCAAACAAAACACATTTCAATTATATAATGGCCTAAATCTACTGCCAGTTTCAAATAGAGTAAACCTAACTGCTGAATAGCAAGTCAGTATTTACATAAATCCCATCAATTCAGCAAGTCTACTCTAGTTGAGACTACTAACTGGATTCTGGCCAATGATTCATGTTCCCCATTGAATGATCTTATAACACTACCTAACAAGTTTGTCACCTTTATACCAAGTTAAAATACTACAAATCAGCACTAGGATTTCTCTTCTGTTTTGTAAGGGAATTTCAGTTGGTAATGGCTATGTTGCCTTCCATTGATTCTGTATAAGCATGACACTGTTTAAAACCTATAGGCAATGGAGGGAAACATGCATAATTAGTTAATTCCTATTCCACATATTCATTTAGAGCAGGGGTGTCCAACCTTTCACCTTCCCTGGGCCACATTAGAAGATGAAAATTTGGTTTGGGCCGCACATAAATTTGGTTTGGGCCGCATGGGGGGCAGCTCTAGTCATCCTCTGCAGCCCCACTCCAACTGCCTAATTCCTAATCCACATATTCATTTAGAATATCATTTTCATTCATATATATTCCAAACAAAGTTTTGACAGATTGCCACTCACCTTCCTCTTCCTCACCCAATTTTCTTTCTTCCTTTTCATTCAAATTAACAGATGAAGCACAATCAGATGTTCTTGATTCTTGTTCTTTACTATTCTCCGTGATTGTAGAAGACGCCTCATTGTACAGAAATGACTGAACCGTTGAACCAGATGCAGGTCCTGAGATCATTTTAAGGTGAGGTATAAGATCGCTGTCAGTAGAAGGGGTCCACTCCCCTATTTGAATGCTTGACTGTGATGCATGGCCAAAGGGGTTCCCTCGAGGCTTCAAAGTCTCAAAATCAGGAACCAGTTCTCCAACTTTAATGTGTGAGTCTGAAGCATGCCCGTGAATATTCCACCGAGGTCGAGAAGACACCACTTCAGAAACGTTTTCCCCTATTCTGATACTGGCATCTGACATGTGTCCGTGGATGTTCCACCTAGGTCTATGTGGCTCTATGTTGGACACATACTCCCCAATTCTTATGTTGGCATCTGAAGCATGCCCATGAATATTCCACCTGGGCCTTGAGGGCTCTATTTCCGAGATGTATTCTCCAATCTGAATATGACCTGAGGAGACATGTCCATGGATATTCCAGCGAGGCCGGCTAGGTTCTTCCTCAGCAGCATATTCCCCAATCTTAATGTGTGCATCTGAGGAATGTCCATGAGGATTTGAATGTGGCTGAGATTGTTCAGTATCAGGCACATATTCCCCTATTTTAATGTTAGCATCAGACGTGTGGCCATGTACATTCCATCGAGGTCTCCTGCTCTCAACATCAAAAACATTTTCTCCCAGCTTGACATGGCTATGTGAAACTGAAGGCCTGAGAACAGTATTGAAGTCGTATTCTGGGGTGATCACCTCTTCTGCTTCATCTTTTGCAACAGAATTTCGTTCACCCATTTGATCATCTAAGGAAAGATCTGAACTGATATTTTGCAAGGCTTCCTCTAATAAACTTGTCTCCTTTATGCTGGGGGCCATTAGTGTTTCTTTCTGAGGTTTTGGTAAAAAATCTTCAAAATCCAGACCATGTTCAGATATGCTCTTTGACAACGAGACTGTGTCCTCTGGACAAATACCCTGGGATGCAGCTTTTGTTCCTTCATATTCGGAATACTGATTAGGCTGTGCACTAGCTGGCTGTGCTGAGTCCAGCGATTTGCCATCTGAATCATCTTCTGTCAGTTCAGATTCTGTATCTCTGCTGACATGCAAAGCATTTACACAACCAGATTCTGCAGAAGTGAACTAAAGTTCAAAGAAGAAAAATAACCACTGTAATTGATACATAAATTACGTATACTAACTATTCTGCAACCTCATCTTCTTCCATAGGTCAAAATCATGTTACTTAATATAGTAAATTGCATTAAAGAAAGCCCACTGAATCAATGGGGAGTTGGAGAGTTAACTCCTCTGCAAGTTTCATTGATTCAAGTGGGTTTACTCTGGCTGAAACTTACTTTAGCATGATAAGTCACAAAGTAGGCCCATTTGAATCAATGGAACTTGCAGAGGAGCTGACTCACTAAATGCCCACTGACTGAATGAACCTACTCTGGTGTTACTGGGCAACAGAACTTACTTTGGCAACTGTGTTCAACAACACCAAAATACAGCATATTGTACACTTCTATATCCATATATTTAATTTTGACTTGCTTATAATAACTCTCTTCGTAGAGTTTTCCAAGTGCTCCTGCAGGCATTTCACTCACTAAAGAAAGACCTGTTACATTCCTGCATACCAAATTTATAGGCTTAAAAATATTGAACTTTAAGAAAGGGAACACAGCTGAGTGGTAAAGCATATACTTTGGACACAAAAGATCTCAGGTTCAGTCCCTGTCATCTCCAACTCTGTCACAGTTGCAGGTGACAGAAAAGATCTCTGCCTGAATCCTCGGAGAACTGATGCCAGTCGGAGTAGCTATATTGAGCTAGATGGATAAACAGACTGACCTGCTGTTAAGCTAGCTGCCTAAGTCTGTCTTTGAAATAGTGCACATCATAGTTCTCATGCATTCCTAGATAAACAGACTGACCTGCTGTTAAACTAGCTGCCTATGTCTGTCTTTGAAATAGTTAGTGCACATCATAGTTCTCATGCATTCCTGGATACAGCACAAACACAACATGACATACAGTTGTATGCCTGCTTAGAAGCAATCCTTGGGACTCAACACTTAAAAGCAGAAAAGCAGGTCAGTTACATTCAAAGCCATATATTCCTCACTGCAGACACATCTGTATACTGTATAGAGCTGTAAAACGGGGATCTTACTGTGCGGCACACTCTCTGTGACATGGAGATAAGTTTATAGAACACAGCCTATAAAAAGAGGGAAAAGCAAGGATGAAGGGAAGTGCCAGGTCATTCCCAGAGAGGATTTTGTTTTGATAAAAGTAAAGAAATATTAACATTTGCAGAGCAGAAAACCAAGTTCATTCTGTTTCCAAGAACAGGAGAAGCTGTAAGGGCAATCATTTATTGAATAAAATGCTAAGGATACATCAATGATTCTTACTTAACACAAAGAGTTCTAACATTTGGGAAGCCCACTATAAATTAAATCTTGCCACTTCATTCATACAGTAATGGTCTAACTTAAGCTATTAACTTACTTACATCACACCCTTTTAAACACTTATCATTGAATAATATACTGTATATAAAAGAAGCACCACCAACCTGAAGACTGGAATCTTTTACAGGCGTAGTGGCAGCTGAAACCTCCTGGCACCGATTCTCTGGAATTATATCTACTTTCCGCCTGTATTTTTTATCTGGAAGTTTCTCAAGCATGTTCTAAAGAAAAACAAGGGGATCAAAACCTTGAACATCCCAATGCGTATGTAAGTAATTGAAATAAATATAAACACTTGTCCTTTTTTTAATAACAACAACAAAAAAAATTTATACTACCTCAATATGTTTTTGATCTTCCAATAGGAACTTGAGGCGGGCTGTTTCCAATTTATGCCTCTGAATTTTCCATAAGGCTTTTTTCTCTCTACGAGCTGCATCTTCAGACAGTTTGGTGTAATGGTCAATTAACTCTTGCCTAGGTGAAATAAAAGGAGCAGTAATTGCATATTGTCATGTTCTATGAGATGCAATAGGATAAAGCTGAACAAAAAGGACAAAGTCTAAAATTCTCAGACCATCCCTTCAAAAGAAAGTTGCCCACTGCTTCAAAGACCTAGAAAAATGTTGATGAAAATCTAAGTATTTATAAACGTATCATATAGCATGCTAATGTGTCTACGCACTCAGTGCTTCCAAAATCAATTTCTTTAGAAAATCTTGATCCAACTATGGAGCCTGATTTCAGCAAATGAAATAATGGCTGTCATACATTTTTAGTGTCCTCATCTAAACATAATACACTCTGGTGGGCAGTGACATATTCATATGATACACTCCAGTGGACAGTTCTGCCACAACTAAGGACACACATATTTAACCTGTATCCTTTTGGTTGCTGGCTAACTACCAATGGCTAAATATCCATGTGCACTTTTAGCATTCTTCTCTCTGATGTAGTAGTGATCAAGTAGCACATGTGGTTGAGTGCATATGTAACATACATTTTTGAAGTTAAACAACACCACAGATGCCATGAGTTGTACACATGGGTCTTCTGAACTAGAAATCCTTTCTCCCCTGGGGCTTCTTTTCTTATGGATCAGTACACCTGTAGGGCATTGGAACAGGCTTCCTATGCTCAAACTCAACAGCAAAAATGTAACTGAAAACAAACATCTTAATCTGTAAAATGCAAATACTATTAGAAGATAGAAGAGGTTAAGTCACTCTGTCAACACATTCTGCTTTACAGAAAAACTCTTCTTTGCAAGAGGAGTTAATAAGTTTATATGTACTGTGTATTACTTATAAAATAGCATTAACTCCAACAGGTATGATCCGATATCAAAAGCAGATGGTATAATTCATTTTTGAAATTTATAAGAGTCAAAAAGGCTGTAATATATATCAGCTTAAGTAGCTAATAGACCATGGCTTAGTGCTGTTGGGGGTGACAGAGAGTAGAAGAATCCTGGTCCAATCTGGGTACGGATGAGCAGCAAGCATAGAGAGAGAAGTTGCTCATGCTATGCTGATGGGACCAAATGGCCACACTATCTGCTCCTGTTCAAACATACACAAAACTAGACTGACAGGATTCAGGGAGAAATCTGTGGTTTCTTAGCAGAATAGGAGAAAAATTGTGCTAGATGAGATCAAAGGTTCAACTAGTTCATTATTGTGTTTCTGCTCTAGAGAATCTGATGCCTATGGGAATCCCTTAAACTCAGCAGCACCCTTAATATTCATGTTCCACATTATTTGATACTGAGAGGGATTCAGCTTCTGAAACTGGAGATACTGACGGTAATCTACAGCCGCTTGACTAGCAGTCATTAACAGATTTATCCCCTATGATTCTGTCTAATCCCTTTTTGAAGTCATCCAAGTTATGGCCATCAATACATTTGTGGAAGCAAATTATACAATGCACTGTCTGGAAAAATAACTTTGTTCATCTGCTATGGAATCTCCACCACTCAACTGCACTGGGCAACCCTAGATTCTACAGTAAGGAGGGAGGAATGAAAACTTCTCTTTACCTACATTCTCCAACCTGTGCATAATGTAATCCATTTCTTTCACGTGGCCTCCTCAACTCAGGTTTTATAAGCAAAAACGCCCAAAATGTACCGTAGCAATCTTTCCAGCTCTTTTTACTGCTCTTTCCAATGCATTTTCAAATTCTGTTTTGGTAGACTGTATTAGTTTGACATCACATCTTCTCTGATATAGAAAATGATGCCACCTCCTTCTCTGTCCTTTCTCAGGGCAGAAGTCAACAATCTGCAGTCTACCAGATGTTGCTGGACTACATCTTCCACCATGCGCCCTTGCTGGCTACAGCTGTTTATGAGTTGCAGTTCAACACTCTGAAAGGCCACAAACTGCCTACATCTGCTACAGAGTTTGCATCTAGGGATGACGCAAACTCTTTAGACTTTGGAACTCATTCCCACAAGATGCCAGGCTGGCCCCATCTTTCTTCTATCCACAAACAGGTGAAGATTTTTCTCTTCAGGGGAGCTTGCTCTTAATGACTGGCTGCCTGAGTGGGATTTTTAAAATAGGCTGTTGTACCTTATTGCTTTTAACGTGTTTTGATGTTGCTTTTGTTTATCATGTTTTAGTGTGGTATTTGTCAGATCCATTTTAGTATTTGTACACATATTGTTGTTAGCTTTAAATATTGTCTTTTAATGATGTATGCTTCCTTGGAACTTTTATAAAGAGAAAGGCAAGGTAAAAATATTTTACATAAATGAATGAATGATTTAATCCAACTAGTTGTTTCTTCCAGGTTTCTGATGCACCAGCTATATCTATGTTCTCCTTTAAAACCACACATTCAAACATGGCTTGCCTGAAGGTTTCTAGCATTAGCACAGAAATACTTGCAAATGATGTTCTCTTCTAAATGTATCTAACCAAAGCCTACTTTCCATTTGGAAAACCAGGAACCTAGGATGCATATCTTCTACATCAAGAAGTTCAAGACTGGCTTTTTGATCCCATGAAATTTTAAACATCTACTGTACTTTTCAAAATACTCTTTTCTTTGTATTTCCTCACCTTGCTCTTTTTTCTAAGTCTTCTTCTAAGGCCTTTAGTCTTTTCTCCCTTTCCCTGAGCTCTCGAGTGTAACTGAAATCATCGTCAATTTCCTCTTGTTTCAGAGCACGGCGGCGCTACATATAAATTCAGAAAATACAATCCAGAACTATAGATTGATATGCATATTTTATATTCAAACAAGATCAATATTAAGGTAAAGGTAAAAGTTCCCCTTGACAATTTTTGTCCAGTCGTGTTCGACTCTAGGGGTCGGTGCTCATCCCCGCTTCCAAGCCATAGAGCCAGCGTTTTGTCCGAAGACAGTCTTCCATGGTCACATGGCCAGTGCGACTTAGACACGGAACGCTGTTACCTTCCCACCGAGGTGGTCCCTATTTATCTACTCGCATTTGCATGCTTTCGAACCGCTAGGTTGGCAGGAGCTGGGACAAGTGACGGGCGCTCACTCCGTCACGTGGATTCGATCTTACGACTGCTTGGTCTTCTGACCCTGCAGCACAGGTTTCTGTGGTTTAGCCCACAGCGCCACCACGTCCCTTAAGATCAGTATTAATATAAGCTTTTTTAGCTTTACAGAGCTAGTACCACAAAATGTACATCCTACTTGAATGAAAACAAATACCTCTTGATCTTTCACAAATTGTTCTTTTAATTTCTGAAACTGCACACGTTTCTTTGCATCCAATGCCATTTTCTCTGCTACTTGTCGGTCTAAAGATAAATTTTATATGCCACAGTGTTAAAAAATAGAAGCCACGGAAGAAAATCAACTAAATTTTAAACATAGCTATAACTTACCAGTAATGGCTTTCAGAGCTTTAGTAGCTGTTTCTCTAGCATGAACAATTAATTCCTGTTTTTCAATTTGCATGCGCAGGTCCTAGGAGATAATTTTACAGGATTTACTGTGATTTACACTGAAAACATCAGATGTGCACTTCCACGAACAAAGAGCAAATAATTCAAATGAAATCATCTCGACAACAAACGAGGCCCTATGGAGGCAGCTACAGTATTGCAACTGGTGAGCAAACATTAAAGTGTGTCTCTCCATTTTTAAGTAAAAATGAAAACTAGTAACAGCTGCACCAGCAAATAAGTATTTCTTTTCTGCACTCAATGGAACTTACAAAGATGTTCTGGAAGAGTTACAGCATGTCCATGGCAGCTAACTGGCTGAGGGTATTCTGGGAATTTTAGTAAAAAAAAACAAACCTTTTCCAAGCTTTGTGAAGCACACTGACTTTGGCTACTATGCCAAAACAGCATGTTGCCTGATTGCTATAGCTGGAATATTACGTGAACAATGCAGAATGTAACAGTATACATTCTAACTTTCATAACTTAATCCAGTGGTTCTTAACCTTTTTGAAATGTGAACAATGCAGAATGTAGCAGTATACATTCTAACTTTTATAACTTAATCTATCTCACAAGGCTGTTGTGAAATGCAGGACAGCGTACAGTGCCTTGACCTCACTGATGGTTGCCTAATAAATAAATAAGCCTGCAAGACCTTTTGTTCCAAAATTCTGCACAAAAATCCCTGTGGACATGGAAGTTAAAAAGATAATGAAGGACCAAAAAGCTAGTTTTATCATAACTTAGAACTACATTTACACTAAATGGCCGATATATGTAAATAAGATATTCCCAGGAACTCTGGCAGTCCTTTGCTTCCTTCTATTAATCTCATTTTCTCCCTTAGAGAAGGAAGAACAGCAGATTATTCAACATTCTGCAAGGTGTTTTGATAACTCCTCTAATTCCTGTATTTTACATGTGGTGCAGCTGAGGCAGGCAAGAACTTTAGCTTGGATCCTTCCAACACTCAGGAGACAAGTATCTGCCCTTCTTCAAGTTGTCATACATGGCAAAGATTGATACCTGAGCTGTTTTTGCTTAGATCTGTTTACAAATTGTATTACTTCTAGCAGCCATTATTTTATATCAAGTAGGTTCTTACATTATACACAGTAGAACCTCAACAGCTCATCCAAGCTGAGACACATTCAGATCATCCAAAACTGCCTCTGTGTTATTAATACCTAAACATTTTTAAATTTTGACTAAACATCATAACAAATACATTGTTGTCCTTGGTTTTCATACATCATTGGCTGAAATTCTGTTGTTTAGTGTAATAAATTGCACTACAGTAGGCCCAATAAATCAGTGGTGATTTCGTCAGTGAACTCCTCCATGAGTTTCATTGATTCAAATTGACTTATTCTAGTTGTGAATTAATGAACTGAAGCAAGTTGCAACTAGAGTAGACCCATTTAAATCAATGGAACTTACAAAGATGTTGACACAGCAAATCCCCGCTAGAATCTATTCTAGTGAGTGTGATTGATTGTATATAATACTAATATTAAAAACAATGTATGGGTAATCTATTTTATCATTCTATACTGTTTTAACTGTCTTGAAATGTTTTAATTGCTTCCACTTGTTTTAAATATTACATGTATGTATTTTAATGGATCGGAGACTGCAAAATAATGATCAATTGATTGATACTCTAGTATGACACTATGCTAAACACAGGTTTCAGCCACCGTTAATAGTAGGATGTCAGCATTAGAAGATTACTTGATCTTCAAACATGTATGAATGTATGAAAAACTCCAAAATGTGGCATTTTTGAACCTACAACCCTATAGTCATGCACCTAAGAATAACTCCCCTTTCACTCAATAGGATTTCCTTTTGAGAAGAGTATGAGGGAGCACACTATACTCCAATACAAAATCATTTTGTTGAGTCAATTTACCTTTTCTTCCTTGCTGATAGTACTATAACGTGCTATTCTTTCCATTCGGCCCACATATACTGCACAGTCTCTCTCAATCTCTTTTAGTTCTTCAAGGGAAAAAATTACAGAAATCCGAGGAACAGGAATATCAGACCAGCATATGTAATGCTGCAAAAGTAAGAGGAAATATCGAAGAGTAAAACCCAAGCTTTCCTGCATATTATTCTTAATATTTCATTATTTTTTTACATTTCTCTTCAACCTTTCCACTACAAGAGGGTTTATAATAACTATAAAACATAACAAAAAGTACAAGTGAAAACAAATCCAACTATAGAATCATTATAAATTTATAATTTATTTATACCAAATAATACCAAATATTATCAGCATTGTAACATAACATAAAAAGAAACCTGGGGGTGTGAAGGGCTATGTGTGTCAGAGTTTACCTATGGATTTAAAGAATGGTAAGTGTTGCTGTTAACAAATCTAAAAAGCTGAAATGGAAACATTGAATATACTGCTAAACAGATCTTCCAAGAAAGAACTTGCAAACCAAGGGTGATCGACATGTTTTCCTCACAGAAGAGTGAGAGGTGTTATTATTCAACAATGTCTGCAAGGCCAATTGTTCTCCATCCTTGATATAAACAGTGGCAAATCCTTCACTTAAGAGCAAAAGAACTTACCCTTGGACAGCACAACTTTAGTAAATTTATGGTTTTCCCACAGATATATACATCGTTAGCAATATGTTTCAGGAACACAGGAACACAGTCTTCTACTTCTTTTGAGATCAAAACATATCCATGAGTCCAGTAACGTTTGTCTAGAATTCAAATAAGACATAAGAAATTTATTTGTCATTGCACTCACAAGTGGGTGCAACGAAATGAGGTGCTCTTCCCCAAGGTAAAACTGGACAACACCACTACAAAAAAAAGTTAAAATATACACAATACTCACCATACAGATATATATACCCCATTTCTCCCAGCAATTAAAATTCCACCAAAAACCTATGGCCCCGCATTTAAACTCAGTACTGCACTTGGGTAAAAGCTGTTCTTGAATCTGCTTGTCCTTGCTTTCAATACCCTGAAACTCCTTCTCGATGGTAATAGTTTAAAGAGCTGATGTCCCGGATGAGAGGAGTCTTTCAGTATGTTAGATATCTTCCTCTTACATCTGTTCTTATACAATTCTTCCAAAGAGGGGAGTGAACAGCCAATGATGTTTTGGGCCGTCTTAATCACCCTTTGAATTGCCTTTTTCTCTGCCACTGTGCAGCTCGTGAACCATACACAGAGACAGTAGGATAATATGCTCTCAATCGAACTCCGATAGAAGGTGGTTAACAAACTCTCAGTCAATTGTTGTTTTCTAAATGGTGAATGAGGTAAAGAAGTGACCCTTTAAACTCTAAAACTTGACACAGTGTATAGCCCATGGGCTACTAAACGTAAATAAACTTGAAACTTGAACTTGACCCTCCTTTAGGCTGTTTCAGAACAATCCATTTTTATAAAGCACGGAACTATTGTCAATTCATTTTACATAGTCCAGCTGATTTTCTTTCACCCTGCATTCCTGTTGCAGTATAGGTTACACCAGCTATATTTTGTACCTAGGAAACTGTACTGCTCTGTCCAAACAGCACATCCACAATTTGTACTATGTATCCATCCATTTTGCCACGGTAATCACAAGTGACACTGGAACCTATTTGTTAGTCTTTGTAAACAAGCTGTTTTGTTTATGTCATTGCTGAGTATGTTTTTCTCCCACTGTCAAGCCTATGCATTAGAATACTGAGCTGGCACTAGTTTTCAAACACATTTCCTTTACTCTGCTCTGTTTTGATCATGTGACCATAAGCCATACTGAATATGCATACCTGAGCTGGCACTAGTTTTCAAACAGATTTCCTTTACTCTGCTTTGTTTTGATCACGTGACCATAAGCCATACTGAATATGCATACAGAGACAAGCAAAATCTGTGCAATATACATGTAAAACATATTTACAAACAGATAAAATTCATGAATAGCAGAAAAACAAAGCATATGTCAAATGTAAAAAAATGTTAACACCATCTCTGGAAAAAGGAACAAGGGAATAAAATTGATCCTCATGGCAAAATGATGATGCAGCTGTTGAAAAAAATTCTGACACAATATAGCTAATACAAGACCAAAGCAGGTATAAGAAAATAGCACTGCTTATTACCTATTCTCACCCTGCACTTGAAGTAACTTGTCCTGTAACACAATAAATGTAATATGCTGCTAGATTACACCTAACTACACAACAAAAGCACTCTGTTCTATAGCAGGGGTCAGGGAACTTTTTTACCTTCCCCCCCCCATTTATATATGATGCCAACATTCCCCCCCCACTCCGTCTTCTCCGAGCCAAGAGAGAGAGAAAGGGAGCTGAGGAGGACAAGGGTCCTTCTTCCTCAAAACGCTTCTGCGGCTCCTCCTCCATCTCTTCCTGGCCTCTCCCTTTCCTGGTGACTCGATGCAGCAAGCGAGTGACAATCCCGGCCACTTCACACGCCTGGGCGACCTGCCCGCAAGCCGCACTGCCCAAGCGGGGGAACCGGCATCGGGACGTGGGCCTGGGGCGGGCGTAGGAGCCAAGTGGCCAGCTGGCTGGCCATCTCTTCCTCCCTTCATGAGCTCAGGTGAGACGGGGCAGGAAGGGAGCCTCCTCGCCAGCACACTGGGTGGGTGGGCACAGGCAGGAAGGAAAGCCCCGGCTAGGGCTCTGCTGGGCAAAGAGTCCAGCTGGCCTGGTACACCACCCTCCCCCCCCACTTTGGAGGCAAGGAGGGCAGGCGGGTGCCCTGTGCATTTCCTAGCCGGGGCTCAGTCTCCCCACGACGGAATGTCCGCCTACACACCGCATCGTCGGAAATAAAATGCCTGGGAGTGAAATGCCTGCCGCGCCATCCTCATTACCCCCAGCTTTTTACATGAATGGAGGCATGGAATTACAGGTTACGTTGTGAAATGCCTGGGTTTAATAAGGATGGTCCCGCTGCCACAACTATCCTCATTACCTCCAGGATTTTTATTTTTATCCCATTTGGGGCCATTCACCCCTGTTCCCCGACCACTGTTCTATAGCAATGGGAGAGACATTCAAAAAAACCACATACCTCTAAAGCCAAGATAATCTTCATTCACCTGAATCATGAATTCACCATATGTATCTCTGAATACGCCACTGTAGACCCAATCATGGATAAACCTAAAACACAAAAGATTGAACGTCACACTTAAAAACATATTCCTGAATGCCCTTTCTTGATTTACTCTGTCTTGACAGAAGAACCTTCACATTGGAATGCTCCCACTAAATTAACTACTCAGCTTAGATAGCAACTGTAAAAGACCCAGGGGCCCTATTTTTCTGCCCTGTTATTGACTGATTTCATTTCTATACCACCCCATTAGTGCATATGAACTATTGTGGATGGTGAGCAAGCTAAAAGCAAACAACCAAAAGGTCAATAAAGCAAACAACAGTGTAAAACAAAAAGGATAGACATACCAAATACAGAAACAAGTAGCACAGTACTTAATAAATAACAGAATACCAGGGCAGTGGCAAAGTGAATCATAGGAGGCTGCCATCAAACGCATCTCTAAAGAGCATCATTTTCATCAGCCTCTTAAATGTAGGCGGGGGGGCAGATGCAGCTCAACTATTCCAAAGGTTAGGCACCACCACCAAGAAGGCCCATTTTCTAGTTGACGTTTTCTTGGCCTCCCGGACAAGCACTGCTGAGCAGATTTGGTGGTGTGGGTGGTCTTGGGGAAAGGTGCTCTGCCATGTAACAGGGCCCAAAACTGTGAAGGGCTTTTTGTAAGTACCAAGCCCTTGAACTTGACCGGGGACACAACAGACAGCCAGTGCAGGCGAATCAGGACTGCGGTGATGCGGTCAAATCTACCCACATCTGCCATGAGCCTGGCAGCCACCTCACCTCAAGGAAAGTCGTGACCACTCTAGCCACCTTGCGACCACTCTAGCCGCCTAGAGTGGTCGCAAGACCAGATAGGTGGGATATAAGTAGAATGAATGAATGAATGAATAAATAAAATAAAGTCCCCTATAGAGAGTGTTGCAGTAGATCACCAGCACATGCATCATCATCCTGAGGGATTCCTAGTCTAGGCAGGGATGGAATCGGGCGATAAATCTAAACTAGTTATAGACCAATCTGGTCACAGCTGCAATCTGGAAATCCCAGGAGATAGCTGGATCCAGGTATACGCTCAGGTTCCGAACACATTTCCTAAGTGGGAGGACTACCCCATCCAGCCTAGGGAGATTACCACCTAACCTATCTGAAAGACACCCCCCCTCCAGGAGGGGGACCTGTTCTCAAAGAAAATGTCTTACTGTTACACATAATTGTAGGAGGTTCCTGAAAGTGTTTATATTTTGAGACTTGCACAAGTGTCTTGAAAATTCTGGAACTCTACAATGTTCAGAGTTTTATTTTTACAAAAACAGTGGCTTTACTGATGTAAGTACCAAAGATGTATTTACTATAAGCACCAACCATTTTAAGACTTCAGTCTACAGTGGTGCCTCGCTTAACGAGTGCACCGTTTAACGAAAGATCCGTATAGCGATCCCATTTTGGGGATCGCTATACGGATCAGCCCCAATCGCCGCACTCGCTTTGCGACGATTGGGGCTCCGGCGGCCATTTTGGAGCCGCCGATCAGCTGATCGGCGGCTCCAATGCCAACCTGCCCCAAACTGTACAGAGACACACAGAAAGGTCCTCATATGACAATTAATTACTCTTCTTATTTATGTTACATAGATTTGTAGGCCACAGTAAAAACTCTTGCATGACTGTGCTGTGTAATCTCAGATACGCATATGAGGGGGTGCTGATAAGTATTGAGTCTTTCCCAGAAAAAATTGAGCTAGGAAGCTGTAACTCCCACACTATTCTACATATTCCCCCAGGAAGTCAATGCACTTGCGTCATCTGTCCTGCTGCTTCTTAAGTCCCTGCAAATAAAATTCTTCCAACTGCTGATCATTTGCAGCATTAGTTGCCTCAAGCACACTCCCAAATCGTTGTCCCTTTAGGTGTTTTTTTAGTTTGGGGAACAGATAATAGTCAGAAGGAGCCAGGTTCGGAGAATAGGATGGATGGGGCATCACTTGCAAGCCTAAGGACATCAGTATTGCCATTGTTTCACCTGCAGTGTGTGACGAGGTGTTGTCATGAAACAGTATGACACCTTTGGAGAGCTTTCCTCGATGTTTTTCCTTGATGTTATGCCTCAACTTCGTCACTAAAGCACAATAATATTTTGCATTGGTAGTTGAACCCTGTTGGAGGTAGTCCACCAGCAGAACTCCCTTCTTATCCCAAAAAACTGTTGCCATTTGCTTCTGCACCGACCTTTGCACTCGGAACTTCTTTGGCCTGGGGGAACCACTGTGTCTCCATTTCTTAGACTGTTCCTTTGTCTCAGGATCATAACACTAGATCCATGTCTCATCACCAGTTACCAGTTTGCCCAGGAAATCTGACTCATTTCTTGCAAAATGTTCCAAAACAGCCACTGACTCCACATGTTTCCTCTTTTGTTCAGTTGTCAAAAGTTTGGGGATCCACTTTGCTGCCAGCTTTCTCATTTCCAAGTTGTTGTGGATAATGGCACCAACTCTCTCATGTGATATTCTCAGATATATAGCAATACTTTTGGCTGATATTTGGTGGTCCTCCATGATCATGTCATGGGTGGCTTTCACATTTGCAGGCACAGAGACAGAATCAAGTCTTCCACTGGGTTTCTCACTTTCAACACCGAAATGGCCAGTTTTAAAACTGACAACCCAACGTTTAACCATTGCATATGAAGGGATACTGTCACCCAATGTTTGTGACATTTCATCATTGATCTGCTTTGCACCTTTCCCTTGGAGAAACAGGAACTTGATTATGGTCCTATGCTCTTCCACACTGAACTTTTCTGGAGGTGCCGCCATGTTCACTTTGGACTGGAAAATGAAAGTTACATTAACATCATAGGTAGTTGATTTTTGCACTGTTAAATATAGACAAATTGGCCAATACACCCTGCAATTTATAGCTTCCTAGCTCAATTTTTTTCAGGGAAAGGCTCAATACTTATCAGCACCCCCTCGTATTCTGAATGCTCACTTCACTTTGCCAAATACAGAAAATCTATCAGACAATCTTTTGCTTTACTATTACAACGCATATTTTTAAACTGAGGAATGTACCTTGTGTATGGTTCACAGCTTGTCTTTAGCAGAGACAGAAGAACTGGGTAATGTTCACTGCTGCAGTTATTAAGAGCCTCTTGATATAGATATGAGAGGAGTTTCACACCCTGAAATATTTATAAGCTACTCTTTGTAAGTGAATCATAAACACACATGCAGATACTTTTCTTTACACTCAGCAAATCTGTTTTATCAGACACTTTTTATCTTTAAAGATTGTCAGAAGTTCTCATAGGAGATCAAATCCTGCTTTCACTGATATTCAGAGATCCCAATCTATTGACACTCGAGTGTTAATCTATTGACACTTGAGTATGTTAACAGTATCTATCTTGCAAGTAATTCAAGCTTATTTATCCTATAGAATTTTATAGCTTAGAAATTTCAAATACTGATGAGCTGCAAACTAAGCAATTGTGGCAATCCCTTTATTACAATGATTCCCAACCCCTTGTTAAAGTGATTCCCAAATGTTCTTGGACTGCAACTCCCAGAAACCCTTGCCAGCACAGCTGGTGGTGAAGGTTTCTGGGAACTGCAGTCCAAGAACACCTGGGTTAGTCAAGGCTGGAAACACTGCTTTCTGAGATATGAAAACATCCAGAGCAGAAGTTTTCAGAACATTTTAAGATATTTATACAAGTCATTTCATATACCAAAAGTGCAAATTTCTTAGTTCACTATAATTTCAGAAAAAATTATGTACTCACTGTTGGAAATGAAATACCAGCCTCTCCGCCAGTTCTCGATGCAGCCACTCCTATGCTACAAAGTTCTGCTAAATACCTTAACAACAGAAGGAGACATTTTAATATTATCTTTAAAAACGGTCTTACTGGTCTACCTAGTCCATCACCCTTTCTCCCACACTGTATAACTGTACCCCTGGGTAAGCTGGCAAAAAGGGCATGATCAACTTCTGGGTATTCGAGTACCTGACACCAGCAGAGAGGACTCTAATGCACCACATCCCTATTGACAGACCTATTTCCCATCAGTCTGGACTACTTCTTCCCCATGTGCCAGAGTGAGGGAAGGGAGAACTGGGATGGTCACGTGGTGAAAGCCTGATGTTGGGAGTTTTGCTGACTGCCAAACCAATCGGTGATTGCGATTCAGTCCAGCTTTACCTTTTCCATGCAGGAAAGAAATGTGAGCTGCAGTGCTGCAGAATTCTCTGGCTTCATCAATTCTTTCTGACAGGATGTTGCTTCAGGGAGCAAGGGCGCTACTGAGGAACCTGTCTGAACTGAATTCGAGATCTAGGTAGGCAGGTCTGAGGCCACAGTTCAGGGGTTCTCTTTTTTTCTTCCCTATATGAATTACATACTATAATTTATATATAGTACAGTGGACCCTCGACGTACGCACGGCTCGACATGCATACTTTTCGAGGTTCGAACTTCTCCGGCCGCAAGATTTCCAATCGACTTGCAGCCGGAGAATCGACCTACGGACCAGAAGGGGGAGGCGGGGAAAGTGGCAAATTCAAAAGTGAGGCAAAGTTTCAATTCCCCGCCTCCCCCTTCCAGTCTGCAGGCTGCATATCGTGCCTCTGGATGCCTTTCAGGGCTTCTCCACCGCCATGGGAGGCATCTTGGGGGTCCCCCCTGCTGATCGTGCTTCGGAGGCACAATCGGCAGCAGGGAAGGCATCCGGAGGTCCCCCTCGCTGCCGATAGAGGGGCCTCCGGAGGCCTTTCCCGCCACCATGGGAGGCCTCCCGGAGGTCCCCTGCCATTGCCGATAGTGCCTCCGAAGCACAATTGGCGGTGGTGGGAGACCTCCGAGAGGCCTCCCATGGTGCCAGGGAAGGCATCCGGAGGTCCCCACCCCCCGCCGAAGCAGGTTTTCCCAGGGTGGACCGGGCCTACCAGGGGAGGGCTTCACCCGGTAGGCCCGGTTTACTGCCCGGGAAAGCCTGGTAGACTGGGCCGACCAGAGGAGGGCTTCCCCCAGTAGGCCTGGCCCACTCCCTGTGAAAGCATGGGGAGTAGA